ACCTGGAGGCCACAGTGTGCTACTTGTCTCACCTGGAGGTCACAGTGTGCTACTTGTGTCTCACCTGGAGGTCACAGTGTGCTACTTGTGTCTCACCTGGAGGTCACAGTGTGCTACTTGTCTCACCTGGAGGTCACAGTGTGCTACTTGTGTCTCACCTGGAGGTCACAGTGTGCTACTTGTCTCACCTGGAGGTCGCAGTGTGCTACTTGTGTCTCACCTGGAGGCCACAGTGTGCTACTTGTCTCACCTGGAGGTCACAGTGTGCTACTTGTCTCACCTGGAGGCCACAGTGTGCTACTTGTCTCACCTGGAGGTCACAGTGTGCTACTTGTGTCTCACCTGGAGGCCACAGTGTGCTACTTGTCTCACCTGGAGGCCACAGTGTGCTACTTGTCTCACCTGGAGGTCGCAGTGTGCTACTTGTGTCTCACCTGGAGGCCACAGTGTGCTACTTGTCTCACCTGGAGGCACAGTGTGCTACTTGTGTCTCACCTGGAGGTCACAGTGTGCTACTTGTGTCTCACCTGGAGGTCACAGTGTGCTACTTGTCTCACCTGGAGGTCACAGTGTGCTACTTGTCTCACCTGGAGGTCACAGTGTGCTACTTGTGTCTCACCTGGAGGTCACAGTGTGCTACTAGCCTTCCATACACTGCTTCACCACACAAAAAAGAACAACGTAGAAATAATCCCTATATAGGTGTCAACTGGCACCTCTGACCATAGGAATGCCGGTGATTAGAGATTATCCATTATAAATTATGCTCGCCTGAGTTACTACACAAAATTCCATCTTTGTCGGTCTTCGATGTCTAGATAATAAATACATTTTAAACGAGCCCCGGAGTTACAAAATGTGGGCTATAGGTTCGTATTTATTTTCTGGGCCCACCGCCACACTATTTTCGCTCGTGTGACCAAGGAGCCGAAGGGTCATATGGAGTGATCGATGCATCTCAAGCCACCTTCTGCCAATAACAGGGCGATGTTGCCATATTTCACCCTAACGTCCCGCGTTTCAGACGAGTCTGCGCTGCGAAAAATGCGGAAATAGCTTCCATATCCAGCGGGGAAAACGTGGTTGTCTATTCGGCATTGATATCATTGGCTGAGTGGCTGCCCTGTGATGTTATTGATCCCATGTCACCCTCTTGAAACACTAATGTCTACTGAAGCCATTTTTTTTTAGGGCGGCCCTGACTCATGGGTTGCCAAAGATCTTATAATCTACGACTGTAGCTTCCACTGGGACGTCAGAAGACAGTTGCAAGCAGGTGAATAGAGTGAGTGGTGGTGCACCGTTTACCTGACACACACACACACACACACACACACAG